AGATGTGTTGGGGGGGTGTACTCATAGTCGTGCATGCCGTAGTCATTAGACCATTGAACTNAACTACCGACGAACATTTACCGACCGGTGACTACTGAACCGGGCGACGCCGCGCCAGCGGCACAAGCGCACAACAACGACCCTTGGCCTTGCACTTTGCCCTGTCTCTTATACACATCTAGATGTGTATAAGAGACAGGGTGTAAGCACTGTGTAACTGCCTCGAGGGTGCTTGACCATTGTAACACAACGTGCGATTATCCCCTTTGCGCGGAGTGAGGGTTCTCGACCCCGCACAACATAGTCTACTCGACCACCATTCATGGTTACCGCGAAAGAAAAGCCAAAGGCAAAAAAAATCGGCTTCTTTTACAACATCGCTGCCAAGCGACGAAAACCAGACCCCGAGGGCGAACACCGGGGGGGACGGCTTATTTCACAACGTCGTTGCCAAGCGACGAAAACCCAACCCCGATGGCAAACACCGGGGGGGGCGGCTTGTTTTACAACGTCGTTGCCAAGCGACGAAAACCCAACCCCGATGGCAAACACCGGGGGGGGCAGTGGGGGGGGGTATAGAATTCAAGCCTCGTTCTTATTTTAGGCGTGTTGTTGTTGTTGTTGTTGTTGTTGTTGGTTTTATGGAACACATATCGTTGCCGTGTGTACACCTGTCCAGATGAACGACGTCGACGCGCAGAGAGGACCCAGCGCCAAGAAGGGCATCAAGGAGAGGGCTCTGTCGCAGGTGACCACTAGACGAGAAACGAGTGTTAGAATAAGAGTGTTGAGCTTTGTCCCCTCGTGATGTGCTGTTGCTCACAGCTCAGCTGCGCTATACGGTGCTGTTTTGAAAATGCGTGTGTGTTCTTTTGCCGAAAGAGGCGTTCCGGGTAAGGGCTCTGTCGCACATGTGCGTAGTGAGGCCAAACACCGGATCCTAAGCTCCAGTGTTGTTGCGGGTGCTTTGTTCTTGAATCGGCATCGACCACTCTGGCGGGCTTTTATAGCTTCTGCGGCAACGAAAAATACGCGGCACGCATTGAAGTCCGCTGGCTGTGCATCTGTGTATTTTGCTGCGCCTGTGTTGGCGCTGTCGAGCTTGTTGCGGTACAAGTACCATTTTTTGTTAAGACACCCCGCTTGCTTTCATTTTTCGTGAATGCATATACCGACATTTTTGCACGTCTGCTGCTGTATGCTGTGCACGTTTGGTTCCAAAAGGTCTTGTCGCCCGGCAGCCCGAACTACCTCTACGAGGGCTGCCTGAGAACCGACGACATCAGCTTCAGAGAGTCAAAGCCGTACGTCGGGGTGATGAAGGACAGCTCCGGTTACCTCCTCTGTCAGGCACGCTGTCTCAGCTGTCTCATTCATTCCTTGTGCTGTTGGGGTGCTAGTGTCGTCGATGGTCTAACGGCTAAGGCATGCGAACATGAGCACTGCCCCCCGAAAGAAACGCCAAGAATTGCGGCCGAATACCGAATGCATCACCCACCGCGCAGAATGTGTGTTGGTTTGGTAGTTTTGTCGCTGAGTCGGAGTCCTCAACTCTAACTAACATCGACGACGTCTCGGAAAGTTTGTGATTCATTCGCCTTTGTGGCTCCGAAATGTGCGTCCCGTACGTAAGCTCTGCGGTGCAACCTTGCTGGCGCTTGGATACAATCTTACGGCCGTGTCTCCCGGCAAGTCTCAACAAGCTTTTGTTTAGTATTTCTCTTCATATGGCGCAACTTTTTTGTGTGATTTGCCTAAGATGGGACGCCGCACTACTGGCTCCCAACAGGTGTGAACCGTGTTGAACCGTAGTGCCAACACACCCACAGATGGTACTCGCCGTGTCGTACCTACCTTCCCATGGTTGTCTCTCGCACCATGTCGTGCACCGTCCATCCACAACCGTGGTGACCTCTTGCTGCCGTAGCGTTAGTAGTTGACAAGTCAGCATGTACTCCATCGGAGAGTGATCGTTATGCCCTTCGGATTCATTGTATTTTAGTATACACTAGGGCGTGACCACGGGAATCGATCGCGTCAAGTGGTAGACTAGTACGGACAGCAGGGGGGAATGGACACAGACATCGGAACGGTTTAACCTATGGAGACAAGAACAACAGTATGTGCTTCTTGTTGTCACAAATCGGATTGTTTTGATCTAGATCTACCCGGACGAGAGGGAGGTGCAAGTGTCGGAGAGGATGACGGCAGAGGCGGTGAGGGTCGCCATCGAAGAGGCCGGCGTCGCCGAGCCGGTGTTCGATCAGGTAGGTACCCTGCCGTGGACACGCCTGCCTCATGTGTCATTTGTCCGGTTGCCTAGTCTCTGCTTGACAGATAAATGTCCTCCGTATGTCTGGGTTACCATGCCCAAGCATTCTTTCGTCAGTAGTATTAATAGTTGCGGGAAAGCTACATGTGTGGGGTGTGGGTGTGCTCGATTGGTTTCGACAGCAGTAGCATCGGTTTCACGAACCGGCTAGCTAATGGAGGGCGATGTGTGAGTGTTTTCTTCTCTTCTTTTCCACTGCTTCCCCTGCTCTTCCCCGGGTTACCCTCAGGACGTTGTTCTGTATTGTCAATTGCGGTTGTTCGTAGCGCAGACAAGACCTTAGGGCCAAGCGTTAGGCGTAGTATTTAAAGTTGTTCTTCCATCGTTGTTGATCCCTTTATTCTCTCGGGTAGAACAATCTCGCAAATGTTAGTTGTGTTCGACACCCTTGCTGTCTTTTGTCATGTGTTGCTTCGCTTTGCGTGTCCCGCTGCGTTATAATACACGGAGATGATTGTGAACGGAAAAATTCGGAACATCTCCCAAATCTACGTATGTACTTGGGGACTCTTGTTGCCCCGCCCTCGTCTCTTAGGGTGCTGTGCTGCTCATTCCAACCCCCTATCTATGCATGCCATGCCAGGGCACGGGTCTGGCATTCCTGCCGGACCACACGGAGCCACTCACGGGGTTCCCATCATCGGCGTTTCCGGGACAGGTGTGACCAGTTTGACCAATCACCGACAAAGCACGACCAGACAAGGCAGTCGGGGTGCTTTGGGGCTGTGCCGAGGGCACTACATACTGTAGATTGGCTTGAA